AATGATGCATTTACTAAAGAGTGCTAATAATGCAATTTACAAAAGAGTGCTGATAATGCAATGATGCATTTACAAAAGGGTGCTAATAATGCAATTTTTGGTTGTATAAAGTCTACCTGAATTCCACAGTCCTGGAGACAGAGAAGAGGCCAATACCCTCGTTAATAGAAAGCTTCCCTGGGTGACTGAGCCAATTGTACCTGTACACCCAGTGCATATCAAGGGTGAGTGATTGCGTAGTGATAATATATACTTACCAGCACGCGCTCCACTCATTTACTGATGTTGGAGTCCTTATCAGGTCATACGGTATAAGATCTTTTTTGAACAGTTCTGGTGTGGTGTAAGGAACGAACCAATCCAAGTGTTGTAGCAGCTTATTCTATGTATCTTTCTATTATTCATTATTTGCTTGTAAGAGCCTCTTTTATCACAGATAGATTCTATAACATGGTCTCCTTACTGTAATGAATAACCCTGTGAATATTCAAATTAAGTATGGAAACTTAAAGGACCACTCTAGGCACCCAGACCACTTCAGCTTAATGAAGTGGTCTGGGTGCCAGGTCCCTCTAGGATTAACCCTTTTTTTTTTATAAACAAAGCTATGTTTATAAATGGGTTAATCCAGCTTCTAAAGACTCTAGTGGCTGTCTCATTGACAGCCGCTAGAGGCGTTTGTGTGCTTCTCACTGTGAAAATCACAGTGAGAAGACGCCAGCGTCCATTGTGAATGCTTTCCTATGAGACTGGCTGAATGCGCACGCAGCTCCTGCCGTGCATGCGCATTCAGCCGAAGAGGAGGAGAGGAGGCGGAGAGGAGGAGGAGAGCTCCCCGCCCGGCGCTGGAAAAAAAGGTAAGATTTAACCCTTTCCTCGCCATCCAGCCCGGCAGGAGGGGGTCCCTGAGGGTGGGGGCACCCTCAGGGCACTATAGTGCCAGGAAAACGAGTATATTTTCCTGGCACTATAGTGGTCCTTTAAGAGGGATGTAGGTGAACAAAACTGGTGTGGAGTGGCTGACACTGAAGTTAGTTGAGTTAAAGCTGAGTTTGCACACTACCTCCCAGACTGCACAACAAGAGCTTCTGCCTGCTAGTAAGAAGGTTAGTAGAGGAATGGACCAGCAAGTGCTAGGGGACAGTCCTTAGAAAGCGTAGAGCTAGCGCATCATTAGACACATTTATGCCAAGCTCAGGATGCTGTCTGCACAGTATGCCCTTGGTTGGTCATCCTGCATGATTGGCAGGAAGCCTGACGTGCATTCACACCGGGCTGTCCATCTAATTCCTCGTGCAGACACGCTTCTTTTGGGGCATGTTTGTCCCTTTGTGCGGTTCTCGTTACGTGATTCACATCAGTGGCACACCCTTTTACCCCGCCCACCAAAATCCTACTTCACTGGACACTGCTGGTAGGGGTCATGGATTTACTTGAAAGATGAAAGTGAGAGATTAGCATAGGGTTTGTGTTTTCTGATAGCTATTTCCTGTGAGTTTCCCTCCAGCACCACCTCCACTAGATAAATGACGTTTGGGAGGTATAACTGTTTTAGTGTTTTCTGTCGATAATATTCTGTAATTACACCCATCATAAGTGTCAGCACCAGGCCCAATGGGCTCTTGATCTGGCCCTGCTGACACCAGGAGGGGGCCCGGCGGCTTGCTCGGTATGCCGCCGGGTGCGAGGCCCCTCCTGGCTGCCGGACCAGCTACCGAAGACACCAGTCTGCAGCTCCGCAGTGAGCAGAGCTGCAGACCATGTATCTCACGAGAACTGGCCAATCAGAGCGTTGCCGCGCATTACCACGGCAACGCTCTGACATCTCGCGAGATTACATGGTCTGCAGCTCCGGAAGTAATGGCCACCGGACCACCAGGGAGCCCACTGGACCACCAGGGAGTGAAGATAGGCTCTCTCTCACCCCCCTCAGCCTCACCCCCTCCCACCCTCTGCCTCACCACCCCGTACCACCCTCAGCCTCACCCCCCCACCACCCACAGCATCACCCCCTGTAGCGGATGGCACTGGGCTGTCCTGAGAATTGCATATGTTTTGACTGCATTCGTGTAAATGGCAAAGTTATATGTGTTAAATGTATTGTATTTGTCTGATTGTTCGGTAGTTTCATTCCCTTAGTTTGTTCGAATGAAACTACCGAACAGTCAGACCTCCCCTGTGTGATCTATGTAAGGGGTATTGGCAGATTCCCCTGGCGCCCGAGGCCATTCCTAAATCCGTTTTTGTCACCCCATTCAGTTTATACCAATTTAAGGTAATGTCGTTTGGCATGAAAAACGCACCCGCTACCTTCCAGAGGATGGTAGACCGACTCCTGGATGGATTTCAGGATTACACTTGTGCTTATTTAGATGACATAGCCATCTTTAGCAACACTTGGGAGGAACATTTGGCCCATATAGGGGCGGTGTTAGATAGGACCGAGAAGCCGGATTAACCCTGAAGCCAGCTAAATGCAGTATAGGGATGGAAGAGGTACAGTACCTCGGACACAGAGTGGGGTGTGGGAAGCAGAAACCTGAACCTGCTAAAGTAGAGGCAGTAGCCCAATGGCCCACTCCCAGGACAAAAACCCAGGTTCTTGCTTTTCTAGGGACTGCCGGATACTATCGCAAGTTTGTCCCCAACTATAGTGCCCTGGCCAAACCCCTTACTGACCTTACCCGTAAAAACTTACCCCGCCAAGTAACCTGGACCCCGGAGTGTGAGAAGGCGTTCCAACTGTTGAAAAATGCCCCTGTCTTGGCAGCTCCCGATCCAACTAAACGTTTTCTTGTTCACACAGACGCATCTATGTTTGGATTGGGAGCAGTATTAAGCCAAGTCGGGGCCGATGGCGGAGAACACCCCGTAGCCTACATCAGTCAGAAACTATTGCCAAGAGAAGTGAGCTACGCCGCCATCGAAAAAGAATGCCTGGCTGTGGTGTGGGCCCTAAAGAAATTGCAGCCATATTTGTATGGACAGCCCTTTTCCTTGCTCACAGATCACAACCCGTTGGTCTGGCTAAACCGGGTGGCTGGGGACAATGCCAGGCTGCTGCGCTGGAGTTTGGCGCTGCAGCCTTTTGACTTTAACATTCAGTACCGCCCGGGCAAACAGAATGGGAACGCTGACGGGTTGTCAAGACAAACCGACCTAGAGAAATGATCCGTGAGCCTCCCCGGACATCCCAAAGCCGATCTGTGTTGGATCAGACTGTGTATGCCAGCTTGTGGGCAAGGGGGAGCAGTGTAGCGGATGGCACTGGGCTGTCCTGAGAATTGCATATGTTTTGACTGCATTCGTGTAAATGGCAAAGTTATATGTGTTAAATGTATTGTATTCGTCTGATTGTTCGGTAGTTTCATTCCCTTAGTTTGTTCGAATGAAACTACCGAACAGTCAGACCTCCCCTCTCTGAAGTGTGCCTTCAATTACCCGTTGCAACATTCTTGCGAACGGGTAATTGACAAGCTGAGTAGCAGTCCTTTGTTCTCGGGGGTGGCCGCCATTCGGGAAACGAACAAGTGGCGGCGGCCATTTTAAAACTCCCGAACAGCGGTGTTTTGCCGTCGAGTGTCTGGAACTCAAACTAGACTAGGCGAACACCGCTGAGAACTCCACAAGCCCCTCGTTCGGTAGATAGAAACAACCGAACGAGGGGATTCAGGCGAACCCTCCCTAGTCTCTGTAACTAGAGGCTTTCGTGTAGTTTGCTCCCTTACTCCAGGACCAACCACAGGGCCCCATCGCATGGAACCCCATTCGGCTGTTCTTTCCAGCGCGGTTGGTCATTTTATTCCCTCCATAAATTTCCCAAACCCCTGGTCTGATCTGGGTGATTTTTGGATATGTTGTTCACCCAGATCAGGGCTACCAGGGGATGTATAATTTAAAGTGGTACCCCTAGGTTTAGGGGTACATCCAGAAACGGGGGGAATTGGTGTCCTGGATAAGGGGATTATGATGCAGGCTGAGGGGAGGATATGTGTGGGAGGTTACCAGAACAGGATTGGATACTGTACAAATTAATGGAAATCCCTCCCTTGCATGGGAGCAGGCTTTATAAGGCCACTGTCTGAATAAATCTTTAGTTCTGCTCCTGATACTGTGTGTCGTCCAGTTATTGGGATTGCTGTTGGGATACTGCTGTGTTATTTTGCCTGCTGGATATTTTACCCTATGGATTTATAATTACTTGTTCCTGAGCCTCCCTGGGATCTAAAGTGGAGATAGGCTGTGTAATACCAGCTCTCCGCTACACCCCCCCACCACCCTCATCCTCACCACCCCCCACCATCCTCACCCCACGACCACACTCACCATCACCCCACCACCACCCTCAGCATCACCCCACCACCACCCTCAGCATCACCCCCCACCACCCTCAGCCTCACCACCCCCATCACCCTCAGCATCTCCCCCCAACCCTCAGCCTCACCACCCCCCACCACCCTCAGCCTCACCACCCCACCATCCTCACCCCGACCACACTCACCATCACCCCACCACAGCCCTCAGCATCACACCACCACCACCCTCAGCATCACCCCCACCACCCTCAGCCTCCCCACCACTTGTCACCCTCAGCATCTCCCCCCCAACCCTCAGCCTCACCACCCCCCCACCACCCTCAGCCTCCCCTTTACCCTCAGCCTCACCACCCCCACCACCTTCAGCCTCACCACCCCTTCACCACCCTCAGCATCACCCCCACCACCCTCCGCATCACCACCCTCAGCCTCCCCACCATACTCAGCCTCACCACCCCCTCCACCAGCCTCACCACCACCCACCACCCTTAGC